ATCACACCATGTAGTCCATGTGTTTATACACATAAGCCCTTATTCCATTAGTGTATTTATGTGGATAAACACAAATGGGGTTGCTAGTTGGCTATCACAAAACTAATGATGTGAACAGACCCCAGCGGCAGCATCTGGAAGCTTAGCTGTCCCCTCCAAAATAAGGGGGGCACTTGGGGGCAGGAAAAGCTTCCTTTTTATCTTTGCACCCTCCTCTTCTACTTCCACTCCTTTCCCACAGTCCCTCCCCGCCAAGTGTTTCACACATATAAGTAGGTATTGGTTAGAATCATTCACCTTCAATAATCTCTTTTACTTTCTTAGACATTTAGAAAATAGGATTGGCCAATGTTTCTAACTAAGCTAATTCAGTCCCCTGATGCCTAAATCAACCTGCCAGGACAGAAATGAGGCAGAAGGGGAGCAAATGTTAAGAAATGCACCATGTGTACAGATACCAGGGGTGGTGGAATAAAAGAGGCTATACAAGTAAATATGATAACTTCATCATCTTGGCTTTTTAAGGCACACAGTGAAGGAAGTATTACTACCCTCTCCTAACACCAAAATTTACAGATAAGGCAAACTGAGGTCCAGAGATCTTAAGGGACTTGACTAAAATAACAGAATGAATCTGTAACTATGTCAAGACTGGAAATTATACATAGGCTTAGAGCTGGAAGGGGCCTTAAAGATTATCTAGTACAACTCCCTCATTTTACAGATTGGGTAACTGAGGCCAAGACAGATAAAATAATTTCTTTCTCAAGACTACAAATCTGTTACTAAGTATTAGAGCTAGGAATTGAACCCAAGTCTCCCAAGTCCATGTTTTTCTACTGCACTACAATGATTCTCTTAAATCAGATCTCATATCTTATAATCCACTTCACTTTTCTGTACATTGCTAGGAACATAAACAAAGAACTGTGTCTTCTTCCTACTTTACAAGAATCTCTGGAAAACCTTGAAGGTAAAAACTGGATTTAGACCAACACATTGCTTCTTATATACTATAATGAACTCAAATGGACACTGTGTAAATATTTTTTTTAATAAAATTAGAGGAGAATGAAACAAGGCAACTTGCACGACTATGACTAGGGGAAGAATTCTCAACCAAAAAAAGAGACACACACATACACACACAGAGAATGATCATTATAAAAGATAAAACAGACAATTTTAATTACATAAAGTTAAAAAGATTTTATAAGAGAAAAAGCAGCCAGAATAAAAGGAGGATCTTGAATGGAAAAAAAGTTATCTTTGTAGCAAGTTTCTCTGAAAAAGGTCTGGTTGTATGTATGTATGCATATATGTATGTATGTATATGTATGTGTGTGCAAATGTAAATATATATAACTAATACAAATAGGTAAGAACAAAATCCACTCAGCAAAAGATATTCAAAGGTACTTTGCAAAAGATGAAATGTGGACTATTAATAATGCAAAAGAATGCTTCAAATCACTAATAATAAGAAAAATGCAAATTCAAACAACCTAGAGGTTTTATTTTGTACCCATCAGATTGGCAAAAATGAAAATGGTATACGTTAGAGGGGCTATAAGAAAACAGGAACATTAATGTATTGTTGATGGAGCTGTAAATTAGCCCAATTATTTTGAAAAAACAATCTGAAATTACACTGTATATATCCTTTAACTCATTGAAAGTTATTAGTAAACATTCAAGGACAATCCCAAGACTTCAAGCATAGGAGGTATGGTGTAAATGGCAACACAACTGACAGGAAAAGGAAAGAGAAGCAGGTTTAGGAAGAAAGGTAAACCTGGTTTCAGACCTAGGAAACATTCATTTGGCAATTAATCACATACTGCCCTAATAACATTTCTTGGGATTGTTGTATTGACTTGGTATTTAAGTCTTGTATCATTATTTAGCTCTTTCCAACAAAAGAGTAGACACTAGGGCCAGACACCAAGGTTTATACTACTTTGAATCCTTTAGAATGTCTAGTGCAAAGCTTTCAATATGGTAAATATTTAACAACAAATGCTTGTGGAAAAATACTTTTTAATTAATTACCAATTTTTTTTATAAGCCACTGACCCACAGCAGAAAATAAACTGCAGGCCAAATACAAGTGAAAGAGCAACAACTGAGAATCACAAATGATTAAAACTGGTTGCTGGTTGTCAAGCTGTCAATGGAATGTCAATGTTTATTATCACTGTCAATTAACTTTAATATAGTGGAATTCAACAACAGTCTGTAGGCACTAAAAATACACTTTTACAAAAGGTCTATGTTCTTAATAAACTTGATCACATTAAGCAATGGGCCAGAGTTAGCCTTCACACAAGTAGTAGAATGTGGTGGTAATGCAGTTTTGGAGTTAAAGAACCTAGGTTAAAATTCTAACATATAAATTATCTACATCATTACTACTAAATTATCTATTTATTTATTAAATTATCTACTTATCACCTATGTGACTTTGCGCAAGTAACTTAACCACTCTGTGCCTCGGTCTCCTTTCCTGGAAAATGAAAAGGGTTGGTTTAGAATATGATCTCTAAGGTCCCTTCCAGATCTCAATCAGTGAAGTTTCCCACATCAGCCATAACTAAACTGAAGGCTTCCATTAGAAAGGGTGAAATTCCACTAAATCATGCTACTTTTTATTTGCGGGGGGTGGCATCACATTTTCTTTGTTCTTGCATATCTGCCCAACAAATGACTAAAACATCTCTAGCTCTGAGGCCATCTGATCACTATTTCCCAGAAGTAGTAAGAATGTGATGCACTGTAGGACTTAACACTAGAAGTCTATTCTGACAGGTAAACAAAGAGCCTTTAAATCTTTTGCAAAGTTCTATTTACTCAGCTGGAGTACAAATTCTCTTCCAAGTCACATGGATTAAACTCAGTGTTATTTCACCCTAATATAGATACAGCCTAAAAGAGAAACATACTCAGATCCCTCCCTCATTACTTGAATATGGGAAACAAAAAGTTTAAGAATGCAATCATCTTTGCCAAATCAGGATTTTCTTTGCACAATGAGTGCATGACCATCATGTTTATTTAAGGCCAGTTAGAGTGGAAGATGACATGCATATCATATTTAGGAATGACTAACTTTTTAAAGAAAATGTAAGGGCACCAAAAATGCTGACAGGGTCAATGAAAGTTATGTCTGTATGTGCTATGAAATAAGTATCCGCTGTACAAGTAAATCCACTAGTGGGAAACTCCTGTGCCCTGCTCATTCTGGTAGAAAATTAATAGCTTTCCAAATGCTATTTTAAGAGGTTTATGAAAATGCCCACTGCCCATCCATAACCATTATCCTCCAGGGCTGACCAGTGCAAAGGACATGGAGTTCTTAAAAGAAAAGGTCTCCTCTAGCTCAAGCTCTCCCACTAATTCGAGTAACCTGAGCAGAACCACTGCCTGAAGAGGAGCCTAAGTTCTTGATTTCAACTTGTGTGTTTTGGGATGGCACAGGAATGCTGACTAACTCAATTTTGATTGCATAGCAAACCCTGGAAGGCTCTGTCCATACCACAGTTAGTTATGGCCAGTGCAATATTAAAGATTATCCCTTAAAAGGGATGGAACAACGGCATTACATTTTCCCAGAAGAAATGGACATGAGTAGAGTATGCAAAACATCTTTTTGAAAAGAGCAAAGGAGAGTAAATTAGAGTAAATTAAAAGCACTTTCTCTGAAATATTCACTATACAGGCTAACATTTATGTAAACAAATTTTCCCCAGTTTAAAAAAAAAGACGCTTAAAATATGTCTTTACTCTTTACATCCCCCTCTATTAGTCTGTTTCTTCATTTCTCCCAAAAATCAACTTCACAGAATTTTGCAAAGGTTTACCAAAGAGAAAATCCAAACTCACATCACCTCCTCCTTTGAACAAAAATGTCTAATTTGTATTTTGCTTTAAAAAGACACATTGTTGAGGCTTAGGTGATTTTTCTTAGAAGACTCAATATAATACTACCAATGCGTCAATGGAAGAAACACTTCTCAAATACTTAATGAACATGTAATCATTAATCCACTATAAAATGTTAAGTGCCAAGAAAATCCTAACACAGAAGGAGGATGGCGTCTTGGCTGGGGGATTGGGGAGAGGTGCATTTTTCCAGAAAATGAGTTCTAACTCTGATTTACTGTTCTAGACACTGTGGGAAATACACTGACTACCCTGACCGAGTACTGAAATAGCTGGCTGAAGAGCATCCCCTAATGGCGCATCAATACAAAAAGAAAGCTATAAGAATGTAATGCTCCAGCACCATGGAAGAGCAGACTACTGTAGGCTTCTGAAAAAATGGGCTCTCCTGTCTGTCACAAGACCTCTCCCTTGATCTCATCTGCAAAGAACCACCACTATGACTACAATCACCACTCACAAAGAATAAACTTGTTGGGAATGTTGTAGAAGGCATTCTTGATCAGGTATGGTTTGGACCAGATCGCACCTGAGGTTCCTTCCAACTTTCAGATTCTGCAAGGTCTAAAAGTACACATGCTTAAAACACAACAGAAGGAATAATACAGTATTTTATAAGCAATGTTTCCCCACAAACGAGAATACTACTTTCTGAATGGTTGATTACATAGAGATGGGAAGTAAAAAATAAACCAGAATCGTCATAAGGAAAAAGAAATTTAGGATTCTACTTATTAAGCACATATACTGCACCTCACTTTAAACACATCTGCCAATTGAAAATATGAATTTACAATGAGATTATTATTTGCTTTACAAAAACATACAACATAAAACTTCCTTAAGATATCTAAAAAAATTTAATTTTTTAAAAATCTAATTACAAAATTTTTTTTAAGGAACATACTTTACATTTTACATAAAACAGGGCAAAATATTGAATTGAATTGAATTTAAAGTATATACAATATACTACAAGCAAGAAAATTATTTTGACAGAAACAATATTTCTAAATAAATATCAGTCAGCATATTTTTTGATTCATTAATTTACTCACCTTCACTCTCCCCACTTGTCTTGATGCCTTTTGAACTACCTTCTATACCTTTAGCCTTATCAGAATCTTCCTGGGTTTCTTCAGGGCCTTTCTCCTCTTCTTCTTCCTCACCAACATTTTTATAGTTGGGTCTCTTTTGCAATCTTTTCTTTCCCTTCTGCTTGTTTATTTCAAGAGATCTTTCCAGTGACTCAGTTGGTTTAATGAAACACCTAATGCTGGACTTTGCCTAGAAGAGTCAAGCATGGAGGACACATTTTAAATACGTGAAGACTCACTTTACTCTAATTTGCTACACAGAAACTTTTATCCACATGAAAAGATTCTCCAGAAAAGCAAATGTTAAACTTAATGTTTTATAAAATCATCACTTTACCTTGGTGAATCAAAACAGTTCAATAAATTACAACTTTCAGATTGCCCTCATGTGAATTATCTACAACAAATTTTTCATCACCAGGATGTTATGTAAGTCTACTTTCTGGCATTCTTAATCTATCAAAAACATGAATATGTACAGGAAATACTAATTATAACAGACTAAAGTAAAATATATTTAGAAAGTTAAATTTGTTGTCAAATCCATTCCAACTCTAAAAACCTTATGATCCTAAAATCCAAAACCAATTATGAATTTTTATTCACCTCATTTTAGATTATCCATTGTACTGCTCCACTATTCACACAAATCCCTAGTTAAAAACTGACCTGTACACAAAGTCACACATTATACTAGTTTTCAACCATCAAAAGAATACTGATCATAAAACAAAAGCCTTCCTAACATATTTTGGGAGGACAGGAAACATCTGTCAACATCTGACTTATCTTCTTGGTTTATTAAAACATAGATTAATACACCACCTTTCTTTTGAAGAACTCTAACAGGGAAAAATCAAACAAAGACTTTTTGTTTACTTGCCTAAAAATAAGCAGAAGAAAATAACAGGTCTTCAAAACTGACTATTTCAATACCTATTCCCAGTCGAATTCAAGTTAGTTGTAGAATAGATAATGGCAAAATCAAAATATCTCCAAAAGCATGTTAAAGATTACATGTAGATCCTCAGCAACAGGATACTGGACTATATATTATGGGTCATGAAACTCATAGGGATTAAAATAGAAGATTCTGTCTGTAAATAATGTTACTACAAACTCAGTGAAATATATATTATAGTGCAGTATGCATATTTTTCATTATTTAAGAGAAGAATTGTAAAAATAAAGGAATTGTGTATCATGCAAAGGGTAAAATATGTTAACATTAATGACCTGAGTGCAAAAGTATATAAAAGTTATCAAAAAGATAATGACCAAAAGTCTCATGATGGAAAATGCTATCCATATCCAAAGAAAGAACTATGCAGTTTGAATGCAGATTGAAGCATACTATTTTGCTCTTTTTTTTCTTCCATTTTGTTTTGTTTCCTCTTTCTTGTGGTTCCTCCTATTGGTTCTAATTCTTCCTTACAACATGACTAATGTGAAAATATGTTTAATAGGAATATATATGTATAGCAATCCTCAACGGATTGCACGCCATCTTAGGGAGGGAGGGGGAGAAAAATTTAAAACTCAAAAGCTTATGGAAGTGATTGCTGATAACTAAAAACAAATTAATAAAAAAAAATTTAAAAAGAAGAAAAAAAAAGATAATGACCAGAAAAGCAGGTGGGTCTCTCGTATGGTTAGAGTGAAGGATAACTAATAGATAGTTCTGCTATACTGGTACTTAAATGATACCTGGAAACCTAAACAAAGGTACTCACATTTTGAGTAGACTTCTGGAAGCTCTGTAGAACTTCGACAACAGACTTACAGTGTGAGAAATCATGGGAGATGTTTACATCTACACCACTGGGAAGGTGGGAAAGAGTAACCATAAAAATAATAATAAAAACAGCTAACATTTAAAGAGCATTTTATGGTTTGCAAAATGCTTTACAATACATTATCTTATTTGACCTTCCTTACAAGCCTGTGAAGCAGGTGCTATTATCATCCTCATTTTATAGATAGGGAAACTGAGGCTGAGAGAGATTCAGTGAGTTGTCTGGGGTCACAAAGCTGCTAAACATCTGAGTCAAGATTCAAGCCTGAGTATTCCTGACTACTACTGCTGTTCTACCCAAGTTACCAGCAGCTGCTTGGGATCAAGAAGGTCACAAATACACTACAGGAGAGGTGGCAAACTCTGGCCAGTGACCCATACAGCTAAATCAGACTAAAATGTAACTGGGAAGCAGTTAACAAAATAAATAAAAAACACAACATAACATAATGTTAACTTGTGGTTTTCTGAGCCATTATGTGGTAGGAGGGATCATTTCTATTTAAGTTTGATTCCACTGCATTAAAGTACTGAACTTTATTACTTGAAATTCAAATATGGACTTTGCTGTAGCCATTCTGTTTTTTCCTATATACCAAGTTTATTAGCAACCAATATTTAAAAGCATTTTAAGCCTTTAAAACATAATTATCAGGGGGCAGCTAGATGGCACAGTGGATAGAGTGGATAGGCCCTGGGTCAGGAGGACCTGAGTTCAAATCCGGCCTCAGACACATAACACTTTCTAGCTGTGTGACCCTGGGCAAGTCACTTAACCCCATTGCCTAGACAAAAAAAGAAACAACTCATAATTATCATGGAAAAGTTTAATCAACTTTAACACTTAATATAGGGTTATAGGTAGGATTTATATTCTTCCATTATGACACCAATCTTAAACGCAGAAATAGTAAATCTTCTAAGAAGTCAAATTTTGTTTCAGATTTGACTTAGCCCAAGACGTCAGCATCTCTTGCATTCGTTCCCTTCTATCTACTCACCTAGCAACCAGCCTAATTCAGGTCTTCATCTCCTGACCTATTACAACAACCTCTTAATGAGTCGACTTGCCCCTCCCTTCTTCACACAGATGCCAAAGTGATTTTCTTAAAGCACAAGTCTGCCCATGTCACTTTCCTCTCCTTCCCTCAATACATTCTAGTACCTCCAGGATAAAGAACAAAGGTATCTGTTTGGTATTTAAAGCCTGTCAAAACATGACTCCAACATACCTTATCTGTCTTATTATACATTACTCCTGTGTGCACCCTACAGTTCAGCCAAACTGGCCTTCTCGCTTTTCTCATCTCTGTGCTGTTGCACATGTCTGGGTGGAATGTCCTCCCAACTCACCTCTGCCTTTCAGAATCCCTAATTTCTTTCAAAGCTCAATTCAAGTATAACCTTTTCTAGGAATCATTTTCTGGTCCATCATTCTCCTCTTCAAGCTACTAATCCCCTCCCCCAAGTAACTATCTTGTATTTATTTTGTATGTATGTAAACACATACATACATTGTCTCCCCTAACAGAATGTGAGCTCCTCATGGGCAGGGATTTTTATTTCTGAATTTGTATCTCCAAGGCTTAACACAATGCCTGGTACATGGTGGACACTTAATAAACATAGGCTCTCTGAATAATGCCTTATACTACAAAAAAATCTAAATTACAAGGTTAAAAGTAAAATAACAACCACGCTCAGTACGTTAATTTACCTTAAACAACAAGTTCAACTAAACTGTTAACAGACAAAAGTTATGTTTTTTTAAGCCTTTGTTCTTAAAAAGAAAATACAGAACACATTAATAGAAAAATGTGTATAAGTGACCTGAATCAGTAACACAAATATGGTCACACTCTTGATCTTGCCATCTTCCACAAATGCACCACCTCCATGTTCAAAAAATTTCAAAATCCCCTTGTTCATCCATAATTTATTGGCTTTTCACCTATCCCTCTGCCTTCCCTTTTAAAACCCTATTCTTCTTCCACACCATGACCTCCAATCCCTTGACCTCTCAATTCTCTCCCAGACTTCTCCCTTGTACTAACCACTCTCTCCTTTTTTGACCCCCTCTTGACCTTTTGGTGAACCAATTCAACTCTACACTGTCCTCTTCTCTTAAATCCCTAGCTCCCTTACCACATTACTAATTAAGCCTTACCAACTGTCTCAGCCTTAGATCACACCTATCGTTTGTTGCCTTTGCTCCAACACACACACTACTGAATCAAAGAAGGGAAAATCACACAACCATTCTGACTGGATCCACTACAAATTTAAAATGCTATACAACCTCAACGAGGCCTTCACTGCTGTTAAGCAATCCTACTATACTTCTCTTGTCAACTCACTATCCCACTCTCCATAATGGCTCTTCCAAACCTTTTCATCCTTCTTCAAACTTCCCATGGCTCCCTCTCTCCCATCGTCTCAACTCTGAACTTACTACCTGTGTGAACTTTGACATCATTTAACCTCTCTAGGCCTCAGTTTCCTCATCTGGAAAAGGAGGGAGTTGAACTAGATGATCTCTAAGGTCTCTTCTAGCTCTAGGTTAATGATCTCATGACACATACCCAATCTTCTCTTCTCCAGGCCAAACATCTCAAATTCCTTCAGCCTATCACAAGATAGCATAGTTTTGAGTCCCTTCACCATTCTGGTTCACCCTCTAGATATGGTCCAGCTTTAGTCTAAAGTATTTGACTGATTCACTAATTGAGAAATGTTCTCATCCAGTTAAGATGTCAGGGTGTGTCATCTGGTCACTTACTTTAAATGCCATGGGGTAACTGACTGACCAACTCAATGATTCCCACCCTTACACTAAAATGTGGTGTCCAGAAAGGAATACAATATTCCAGAAGTGTTCCATCCCAGACAAAGTATAGCAGAACTCTAATAGTCTCTTTTGTTCTGTGTATATATCGACTCTAGTAAAGCGGCCTAAGAATACATTTGCTTTTTAAACTGCTATTGTGTCATTCTTTACACAGAGAGAGGTTGTAGCCTACTGAAAACTCTAGATCTTTCTTATATGAACTGCTGTCTAGTCCCATCAAACCTAATCAGAAGAACTGTTCATTTTTGTAAACCAAGTGCAAGCCTTTAGATTTATCCCTATTAAATTTCACGTTCCTGGATTCAGTCCATCATCCTGAATCATGTCTCTGCATGTCTGGAGCCCAATCCCTTTGTCTTCATTTACACCAAATAAAATCCTTCTCTTCCTTCAAGGCCTAGCTCAGTGAAACCTTTTCAATGGAAAGTTATCTTTCCTTTCTCAGATTTTTCTGAAGCAGGCTGTCTGATCTTTCTCCTTCTCATATTCTACCTTGTATTATACTTATTTTGGGAATGTTTTATCCTTCCCTTAATGTTGAAGGCAG